GCTCCTTCAACTCACAAGGTCTATACCGCACACACTATACTTATTCTTTTTATCTCATTGAGACGAGATGCAGTTATCTTTTATTCGATATTGCGCTTTACTGGAAGTTTCTGATGATCAAAATGTTATTAAATCATTATTAACTGTAAGGATTCGTTATTTGAACCTCAAAGAAATAAAATTCAAACAGCGACGAACAAAACTAGTAACTACGTTATTTCCGTTTCCCACCAGATGCAGTGCACACGCTGACGTGTGCCATAATGCTCCTGAACACGGACCTGCACGGCTGCGGCGGCGGCGGTACTTTCCGCCGCATGTCCTGCGCCGAGTTCATAGACAACCTCGCCGACCTCAACGACGGAGACAACTTCCCGAGAGAAACACTCAAACAGCTCTACCACGCCATCCGAACACAGCCACTGCAGTGGGCCCTGTATGTATCTTATACCATACACTATCTTTAACAATTCATTATTAATTGCAAATAACGACTGTACTCTAATTCGTACTTATAAAGTATTTATAATATTTTTTATTAATAAAAGTTAACATACGGTAAATGAATAGTGAGTTTGTTCCGCAATTTATGCTCAGCATACGATGATAAATTGTTTGCCTTACTTTTTGCTCTCAAATTGTAGCGACGCAGAGGCGCCCCCAGCAAGTCAGGGTGCGGGAGCCGAGGTAAGGGTTGGCGGGGCGGGGGCCAACCCCTTCCTGGACGTCCCCGACCAGAGCCGCGCCATCGAGTACAAGAAGGGATACGTCATGCGCAAGTGCTGCGTTGACGCTAACGGGAAGAAAAGTAAGTACTTACAACTCTTTTTATACTGACACTAAGTGTGTATAATCGTCAGCTCTTACTCAGAATTAATAAAATAATCTACAAAAATACCACTATAAAAACAAACACACCACTCAAAAATAAGGTCTCATTTTCTTATATAGCTCACACTTTGATTTACAGCTCCGTTTGGTCGTCGAGGTTGGAAAATGTTCTACTGTACGCTACGAGATTTGGTGCTATATCTACATAAAGATGAACACGGATTCAGACGCAGTCAGATGTCCGATAACTTACATAATGCCATCAGGTAATAAATATTAAATAATTCATATAATTGGGTAGTTTCCTAAATCAAAAATACATTAATTCGAAGTTTCAATACAATAAAATATTAAAAAATAACTATACATATATATACATATAACTACACACATTGATCTGCTGAAACAATAAATTTTCGATATTTTTAACTAATGACTCGGAAAAACTATGACGTCATTATTTGGAGTTTCATACAAATTGCATAGAAAAGTATAGTTTTTGGCATTTGGGTAAAAGTAGTGAATTTGACTTGTTGGAAACTACCATATTATTAGTTATTCATGTAATTTGGGATGGGTATTATAACTATATACATTTTACTTCAGAATACATCACGCACTGGCGACGAAAGCGACCGATTACACGAAAAAGCAGCACGTATTTCGATTACAGACTGCTGACCAGGCCGAATACTTATTCCAAACGAGGTATGAATATCTTAGACTCGGAACTTTTTTTTGGGGTTTGATTCGTCCAATGGCCAATAAGCTCTCCTTTCTTCCTATGTAGGCCGAGGCCGTGGTGCCTTATTGCGCTTGTCCCGCAACCCCGACTGACGTTTGATTTTGTTAGTGTTTATTTATGTTAAATATTGTGTTACAGCGATTCGAAGGAGTTATGTTCGTGGGTGGAGACGATAAACTTCGTATGCGCGGCGTACTCGGCCGCGCCGCTGGCGGGCGCCGTGGGCTCGCAGCGCAAGTTCCAGCGACCTCTGCTGCCCTGCACCCACACCAAGCTCTCCATGGTAAGCTCGCGCGCCGTGACCCTCAGACGTCCAGGCAGGGCAATCGTACGTGTTAACTGAGGACACAATATTCAGGGCCAGCGCATGTTTGTTATTGTATTATTTAAATATTGAAAATTGTATATAGGAATAGCTACTGTCCCGCGGTTTCACCCGCTGCTCGGTTCCATTTAATAGAGCGTTTTATAACCTATAGCACTCAGGAACATTGTAGCTATCTATCAGTGAAAGATATTTGGAAATCCGACCAGCGGTTTCACAGATTACCCCCCTTGCTGACATACAAACTTACAAATTTTACCTCTTTATAATATTAGTATATGTAGATGTGTATTGTAGTGAATTTAAATTGATACTGAGCACAAATTCGTTAATAATTTGATTGAGTCTGATATGTAGTCTGATATTTATAATCGTATAGTGAAGTTGGAGTGAATAATTCTGAAGTCAATGTTCTTAAAATGCTGGTTGGTAAACCCTATCGGGTTTTGGAAGTAGCTGGCTGTGGTTGCATAGTCTGTGCCTACTTGGGGACGTTCTTTTCGACAACAAATAGCATCATTCTTGACTGCCACCGTTTAAATCGTAATTCGGGAACATGTTTTATGATTCGGATCGGACGAGTGTGTTAGCTTAACCGCTGGGACCGTAAAAAAATCAATTAAAAATCCCCCTCCAATACTAAATTCCGGTGCAATTTTAAACGTAGTAAAAGTTTTAACTTATGAGAAGTCCCGTAACTTATTTAATTAAATACAATTTATGGTGGCATTGTACAGCGGGAGCAGTTGGCGGAGCACGAGGAGCGCGCGGCCCGCCTCGAGGAGGAGCTCGCCGCGCTGAGGCACGCGCGCGACCACGCACACGCCGCGCACGCGCCGCACTCTCGCCTCAAGGAGCACTACCTCGTGCACGAGGTGACGTATTCTCCTACTGCGCTCCATTCTCTTGTGGTATATCCAAATAACGTCGTGTCATGTGTGGGACAGATAAAGAGGTACCGCACGTACGCGTACGTGATGCGGGCGCGGGGCGGCGGCGCGGGCGCGGACGAGGCGGCGCCGGCCGTGCCCGAGCGCGCGGCGCCGGCCTGACGCGGCCTGGCGGCGCTGGCGGCGCTGGCCGCCGCACTGCTGTGACTGCTATGCGGCGCCGGCCCGGGGCGCCGGCCTGCTGTGACCGCTGGCCGGCCCCCGTCTGACGCGGCCCGGCGGCGCGACTAGTCTTCCCGTCGCAGAATGGCGCCCCGACACTCCCGGCAGTGGCGCTACTGCGTCTCCACTTCCTAGTTACTGTGCAGTGAACTGACTTACTTTTAAAGTGGTCCCTCCGACCGGCCCGGCTCGATGCGACATACATTTATCGTCAATGATCCGCTGGACGTCTGAACTACGAAATGGCGAGCAGTCGAGTGCGGTTGGTCGATTCTTAGAAACATTTTATAAAATGTCATCATACGATTTGCCGAAGTTCCGTTGTAACGTACGTGTCAGCGATGAGGCTGAGCGGTTATACGCTTTAATTATTCTCTTTTAATATCACAAATATTGGCGTAATTAAGATACTATAAGTAAAATCATTTATCATTCCATATAATCTGTATCACTGTTCATTAGAGTACAGATTTAAGAAAGTGATAAAGTGGCTAGGTGTAGCTGTTGACTCATTCTTATTCCGCATGATATTCACTCGGTATTTTATTTGACAACGGCTGAATTTATTACAATATTGTAAATAGTTTTTAAAATATTGAGACTGATACATGAAGTTATTTATTTCGTTCGTAAATTAACCAGTGTCAAATCTTAGGCATCGATAGTATATCATTACACCCTAGGATCTCAGATGTAATTTTATTATAGCTATAAAATGAAATGTATGTGACTGAATTGTATGAAATCTCGCGTTGATCAATCATTTGTACTTGGGGAAATCACGTATTATTGTAATACAAGCTTTATTTAATTTTTTAACAGTCTAATTACATTAGGCGGATAATTAATTATTAGTAGGATATTAAAATCTGAATTATGTAATCTATTGATGATAAGTGTCGCAGCTTAATGATAACTAAAGCATTTGTTTAGCGCTTCATGCCATTTTAGACCCTCCCTGAACTATGTAACAAATGCTCACAATTTCAATTATTTATTGGTATTTAATTGACAAGCCTAGAAAGGGTAAGGATTAATTATTCTTTAGTCCATTAGCTATCCCTAGACATCATCCAAATTATGCTTATTTATTTGTATTGTCTGCATTGATTCTACAGGACAAAGCACTCTTATTTGAAATTCGCTTTAGATGTTAATACCAATCGTTGTAAATAAAACAATATTTTTTATGATTTGTTTACATGTTACATTTATTTTTTATATGTTTACTTAAATGTATAGCTTGGCGAGTTTTGTTTTATTTTATTAATAATTAATTAAATGTTTGCTATGTGTTTGTGACATTCAACAGCCTATTCGTGATATTTTTATTCCTCTCATAATATTATTGTCTTGCTAAATTATCTTTAAGAACTAAAACACTTGTAATGGAATTTGTATGTCTGTATAAATATGCATAAATCATTTGCTAATTATGCTCAATCTCGAAATATAGATCTTCTGGCTGATTTTACAGATAAATAAATATAAATTATTCAGATTTATTCATATCCAAAATTAGTCAACTTGCAAGTATTATAAATTAATCTCTATTGGTAAGTATGGAATTAAAATGTTGGCTGTGCCGGAGAATTTAGAATAACAACTTGATTTCTGTAAGTAGTTATTGGAGTTAAATATCTTAGCTGGTGCAACTAGGATGTTGTCAACTAAGCTTTTATCATACAGAATTAGTTGAGATGTAATGACCAGTCTAAACAGCATTTATTGCTTGTGCAAAATGTAAATAAATGGTGTGAAATATTGGGAGCCTGATAAAATATTGATCAACTCTAAAGTACATAATAAATGTCTAAGTATTTGAAACTATTGTGTAATAAAATAGCATTAGATTTTTTCTTTTATACCAATCATAACCCCTCTAAGAGCTGAAATAAATATCACAAAGGAGTATATTTGTTTCATTTAACAATCCTTACAAGAATTATGTAAAATACATCACATTTATAGAATGAAAACATTAGAGGTGAGTATTGGGACTGGTATGAATAATCAATGACTAAGGTAGGAAACAAACTCAGATATCAAAATGCATAGATATTTTGCTTTAATTCTTAGCACCAAAAGTATAATCAGTATTTTTTTGTAAAGGTCTCTGCAGTGGATGTGCAAGAAGTTTAGCAATACAGTCATGAATCTTTGTTGCATTTCTTGATACTTCAAAGACATAGGAATAACCATTATCTAAGTCCTGAAGAGCATCATACACCTCTTCACATTTGTAAACTGAACATTCTTCTTCATGTGCGAGCAATATGTCTATGTAGAAGTACAACTGTTTCTTGAGAAAGCTAAAGTATGCCTCATTCTGTGGAATTATCGGAATACAATTTGATCGCACATAAAACACGAGCAAGCGCACCACGTAAGGAGGAGGCTGTGTGCTCTCTCCCTCTTTGTATTCAGGTATTTCAACTTTCTGATGTATCCAATTGAAAATATTTTTCATATCAAATATTTCAGATTTGCATTCTTCTGGGCCTAAATATTCAATAGTAGTTAAAATGTCCTTAATATTACTAGAAAAATTTTGTATCCACACTGCTTCTGAATCTTTCAGCACTATTATGGCAAACTCAGTTTTTTTGTTAATTGCACTTTTAGAATGTAAAAAAAATTCTATCACCCTTTTCATCATGTTAATCGGTGTGAATGTTGAGCCATCGCCCAACCTATACAGAGATTTGTTATTGTCAAAACAAACATCCAAGCAAAGAACTATTCTTTCTGGAACATTTACATTGGGTACATTAGGTTTTTGAATATTTTCCATCACTTGTTCTTGTAATTCTGAGAAATCTTCGTTGGCGGATGAAGTGATGGTAATTGGTATACTCCTGGAAAAAAAATGGATATAAGTAAGGCTAAACATTTTATAATTAAGTTGAAGTAATTATGAAGGTATTTGAAATATTACCCTGGTGTACTAGAAGGTTCCGAATCCGACTGAGAAATATAAGGGGTTAATAAATCGGGTGTATCCATTTTGCAGATCGCAAGTGCTGAAACAAAAAGTATTTAGTATAGAATTAAATATACACCAACCACTTTATTATTATTGAGTTGATATTGATAATTTGACATTTGACGGCCTTGACAATACACAATAGATTTTTTTTTTTTTTTGGAGTTTATGGTACACAATAGATTTGACGTAGAGAATAGAGGTGGGTCGTTGATAGGCAAAGACTTTACAAACACTACGTCTACGTTCTATCTAGTCTACGGACTAGTATCCCAAAAGTATGCAGTAAAAATGACAATTGGCCTATTATACGTATACTATGGTGTATAGAATTGAGCGAAATAGTTCTAGCATTTATTTAACACCCTTCTGTACAAAACCTTGATTTACCTTTCTAGATTATTTGCTCTATTTCAATTTATCCAGAATACATTATTAGGGTATGTGCCGTCTGTGGCTCAGACAGAAACTTTGTCTATGAAGTTCGAGACATTGACAATAATAACAAGTGACACTTGACAAATATTAAAATGTGTATGTGTATGTGAGGACTGTGGAATTGCAAGTAAAACGTGTGAAATAAAAAAGAAATCATGGATTACCAATACGAACAGGCGAGCGAGGTGGAAGCGTTAGATTCTATTTATTATGGAGATATGCAAAGTAAGTTTAGTATCCTGGTATCGCGAACCCGTCTTTTCTTTCTTAATTGGTTATCATGTGTGTGAATTTTGATGTCTCTGAAGTAAATACTTTGCTATATTCACCGGTGTACATAATATGACTTTTTAAATTATAAATGACTATTGTATAATCTTGAATTCCATTACCCTATTCGGTTTCATATAATTGATAGTTTGTAAATCATTGAAAAAATAATTAATGTTTAATTACAGTTATTGAAACAAAACCCTTTCACAAGTTTAGTATACCTATCAAATCAGAAGGTTTTGATGACGGAGAAGGGCTCGCGTGTCAACTAGTCTTCACATACACAGCTAAGTACCCAGATGAGGTACCCATTATTGAAATAGAGGATGAAGAAAATTTTGATGATGTAGTTGATAAAGATGAGCTGCTGTCGCATTTAACAGAACAGGTAATGAGTTCTCTACATCATGAAAATATACAATATTAACACATTTATTAATAAACTTGTAGGACATAAGATAAAATGAGGCTTGTGTATTCACATTTTTCTAGTAAAAAGTCAAGGACAAAATACTAAATGAAACTTTAAACTGGCGTACAGTGGAGCACCATGAACCTCTACACTCTATGTAAGAGGGCTTGTGCATCTACACTTAATTATAACATTTTTAACATTAGAAATAACTTTCAGGGAAATGAAAACCTAGGAATGGTGATGGTTTTCACATTGGTATCTGCTGGACAAGAGTGGCTCAATGTGAGATGGGATGCCATCAAGAAAGAAAGGGAAGAACAAATTCTAGCCAAGAAGAAAGCTGAGGAGGAAGCAGAATTGGTAAGATCTATTTATTTACATTTACATTTTATTTACCTAGTCTAGTATAAAATTAATAAGTAATTCTGTAATCATTTATATTATATTAATGTACTATTTTACTGTTTTCATTTTTATTTTCAGTGGTGTAAATTTTTACTTTTCTTTTGCAGAAAAGGTTTGAAGGCACAAGAGTAACTGTGGAGTCTTTCCTGGCGTGGAGGAAACAGTTTGAGATTGATATGGGCATACCCGCCAAAAGAGAGAGGGAACTAAAAGATAAGAACAAACTTACCGGCAGGGAGCTGTTCTTGAGGGACACTACACTCAATGAGTCTGATCTCAAATTCCTTGATGATGGTTTGTATAGAATTGATTTTCTTTTATATGCAACATTTTTATTGCAAGATCTTTAAAAACTCATAGCATTTAGAAAATAAAGTTCTAACTGTATTCAGGAAATTATCAGTTGTTACTTTTTACGATTCTTTTGGTGTGACAGAGAAAGGATATATTTTTTGTCATTTGTTCAGCTTTCTGAAGTCTGACAAGTTCAACTATCTATTACAGGTGATGCAGTCAAAGTGGATGAATCACTGTTCCAAAACTTGGATGACCTTGAAATATCAGATGATGAAGATGATGCCGACTATGTTCCGGGACAGAGTGGGAGTGAGAGTGATTAGTACATAGTGTGCCCCTCCTTCAGGGGTCACTGAACGAGTGATAGAACTAAACGCCTCCTCGGCTGACGCGCGCCCTTCGAACAGATGTGGGTTACAGTTACTCAGTTATTGTTCAATAAAACTACACAAACATACTTGGAGAATATTTTATTTACACTTTGTCACTAAAGTAGGTATGTACAACGGACAAGTGAAATATCAAAGAAAAAGCGATGGTTCGTCTATCAAAAAGGCAGCACAATAGAAACAAAGCTCGAGACAATCTAGTGTGTCGTGCTGTTTGCCAACAAAACGAATTCGACATAACGCAAAAATAGCACAAACAATTGTAAATAACAAAATTTTAAAGTTCAAACGATATATTAATACTTTTTTTAATTTTTTCTCTAACAATACTGAAAATGTATGTAGTTATGTCGCTCGCTCAACTAATAACTGACCATGGTTGTAGTTATAATCCACATCTAATGCAATTATTATTACAATTCTGCAGGACTGACCAAATTGAAATATGTTTCTCATCTATTATAATGTTCTCTACTGATATTCTTGTACTGCTTTATCCGAAATTTTATTACTTAGATAAAATGCAATCAATCGTTTACCTCACGACGGTTACAATACGATTATACATTTACAAGTTTTAAAAACTATAATTTATTTTCAGAGAACAATAGAAATGAATGTCATATAATCTTCTTAGCCAAAACCTCTGAGAATGCTTCAGTTTCATCTTAACCAATCGTGGGGGTAAACCACTCCTATTGTACCTTGATATAATAAATCTGTATTCAGTCGAGCAGGCGACATCTGCATTACATTGTAATTCTCATTTCATATCTACAAGTAATGTAAACACCACAACATTAAAAAACTTAAACTTTTGAGCAACCGAAACAAATGTAACTTGGCATATCCGACATTACTTAACATTAATATTTACTAAATTAGACGACACAGTAATTAATAAAATAGGTATCAAAATATATTCATGTAGTGCAGTCTTTGAAATGAATCTGTGGAAATTATGACAATAACACGTCTAACGATCTAGTAATAATTAACCATAGATATGTAACTTTTGATAAAAGTAAAGAACACAAGTGCAATGAAAATAACTCTTACACTAATGCTAGGTATGCACTTATGTAGAATTTCTATATACACAGGTATTACGACACAATAAATCAGTTCATTTATCTTAAAGGAATATAATTTCAAATAAATAAACATTAAAACATTGTTTTACATAAATACGTAACTTTCAATTGCACGATAAATCGTATTTGCAATTAATGAACAAAACTGTAAACACTTAGAACAATCAGGTAATAAATGCAATAGTAATGATACAATGACAACAACAATAGTTAAAGATAACACACATTACAACAATGTCTTCACCTAGAACGTGCTAACACGCACATTATATTTACTAGAATTTATTTCGGTATTAACTGATGGACAGTGATACTTCTGCAAGAATGCGTGACATACCTAGGCCGCATGCTTGGTAACTAAACATCAACCAAAACAAGGGCAACGTGATGCCTTTATTATTGCTGTAACATACAAAATATTACTTAGGGACCAAATTAGGAAGTTCGCTATAGTTCTATGAGCCGACTTACAACAACAAGAGGTTGTGGTCACTACAAACTATAGGCCAGTACATTAAGTCCACTTTAGAATTATTTCATATGCAAAATGTCTATTGTGAAAATATATAACATTTGTATCTTAAATTATTTATTTGTTTACTTTTTCTAGAGTGGTATCTTCAATGAAATTTACATAAGACATAATAAGCTGTCCGTGGTGGTCCCAATAGTAGGAGAGCCCAGGATGCCAACAAAGTATTAACTTGATGTTTGGAGGGAGTACCGAATAGAAAGAAGATTTTTGAATTTTGATTTTTTCTGAAACTAAATGTAGTCCGAAAAATGCATAATATAGTCAGTTTATGTATAGAGTTTATGCAAACAAACATGCTAGCGTCAATATCCAGTTACCAGGTGTTAAAAAACTCAGTAGGAGTCTGACACTCTCACTCGCCTTACCCTGGGCGGGAGAAGTCATTGGATGATTTTCCCCTGACAAAAAAAAAAGAAAAAAAAGGTGTTAAAAACTTGTCAGGTAATAATAGTGCTTTTTTGTAAAACATGCACCAAAACTAATAATTTCCTTTATCGGAATATCATCGAAACGATAAAACATAGTTTTCGAAATTATGAGGTATGTGATATATTTGACAGGACATTAGGTGTTCCCAATAAATGCTAATCTGGCGCACTCGACTTTCTACCGAAGTCCCTTCATGGGCTCCCCTACTACAATATATCCGATTTTCTCATTAATCGGCATTGAGACTGAATTTGAAACTTTACAAGACTATCCTATCTACGCTTGTGTAAAAAATATCTTTAGATGGGCGAGTTCGCTGATCAATTACGCGTTAAATAAGACGAGTGTATACAAAGCTTAGTCGATCAATGGCGTAACAGCTTCTAACGAGGACGCTGACCGAGGATACTGGCGAATACAAGTTCCTATGAGAGTCATTATAAGGACAGAAATGTTATCCAACAACTAACTGCTATATGCTTACCGCAGAAAAATGGTATAGAACTGATAATCTAAGTGTGGACTACGAAAGGTTTTACTCAAAGTAACACTATGATAGGCCAGTCTCCGGTCAGCTTGGCTACGAGGCCCGAACGCTGTCAGCAATCGTACGGATGGAGTTTACTTCAGACGTTGTGTGACGTTGGCAAGAGCCACCGCGAAGGCTTGAAGTGCTGAGAACGGGTACTGGAAATCCAGCGTGTACGCGTTTCCGTCGATACGTCCAAACTGCATTACCTGAAGATGAGAGGGAAAGTGAATGAATATAACAATGTTCAGGTAGGTATCGTATATTTATATATTTTTATAAAAAGCTTTATTTATTTTTTTCCTTTGAATGATTTAATATTATTTTTATTCAAAAATTCTTATAAACTAAATACCTACATAGCCCCACAAAACTACTTACGCAATTACGCATTAACTGGAAGATCATTGAGCCTCTATTTACACAAAACACACATAGTGATGGTGGACTTTGCCTTTCTCTGACAGCCAACCATAAGGTGGTGCAGAAAAATCAAGAAATCGGTTGCTGCGAATTAAGGAAAATTCTCCAGAAGAAAATAAAAGAGAACTAAAAAAAACTAACACGACGGTAATTGAATAAGTTTAAAACTAATCGAATGCAGTCATTTAGAACACGGTCTAATAATTCTTCGAGCAGAATTCAGATATCAGCGTAATCAATAATTTTGTGGTTTATTACCTGTTTCCCATGATATTCTATTTGGAAGTTCTTGGCGGATTCTTGTGTGACTCGGCCACCGAAGTCGAGCTGGTAGACCTGGCTGTTCTCGTTCCACATCGGCGCCTTGTTGTGCATGACGAGCTGTCGCCGCGCGCTGTTGTTGCGGCTGTCGCCCGCCGTACTACTGCCGGACATCACGCCGCCCGCGCGTTTCAACTGCACCAATATACAAAATAAATGTCAAGCCAAAAAAAAATTGAGATTAAGTGTCGGAGACGCATTTCGTAACATAGTATTTTTTATGTGACAGGACGGCAAACGATCACACGCATTACCTGATGGTAAGCAACCGGCTCCGCCCATGGGCATCAACAACAGAGGAGACGTGCGTTGCCGACATTTTGGGGATCATGTATTTGCAGGTTTAGGGATTGGAGAGGGATTAGGGGAGGTCAAGGATTGGGTCTCCTGTAACCTCACTCACACGGCGAAATACAACGTTGTAGTTGTTTCTCGCTGGATTTCTGTGAGTCCGTTGTATCACTTGTACTACCTGGACTCGTAGGACTTTTAAGTATGTAGTTCAAAAGTCTCAACAGCTACGAACCTTATTCCTAAGTTGTGCCTTCTGGAAACTTTCCAAATCTCTGTAGTTCTTGCCGTTGACCTCGCTGTAGCCACCGCCCGTTGAATACTCGTCGTCGGAACTTTCGGACGGTTTCTTGTTTCTTCTTCGATTCAAGAGCGGAGAGTTTAGTAGTTGCCTGTAAAATATCAAGGTATTGTAGAATTGAATTGTCCTGAGTTAATCGATGATAAAATTAACGAGTTCAACGAATAGTTATTTTACCTGATAGGAGATGCAGAAGAGTACCGATGTCTGCGGGGTGGAGTGTGTTGCGGTGTATGAGGGGCGGGGGCGGGCGCGGCACCGTGGTCCCTCGCAGGACGTGGCCGCGGCGATGCAGGCGCCGAACTTACCTCGCGGGCCACGCCCCCTCCCGCCCCGGCCCCCGCCCCTCCCGCGGCCCGCAGAGACCGCGACGCCAGCAGCCGCAGCGCCAGTTGTTCCAGCGAACCTGCGCGTGATACATACACGTTACACTACATGCGCTGACAGCTAGTGCTCGTGGCTACCCGTGTCCATGCCGCGTCGTGTCTCCTAGATAAGCTTCATGCGACCTATAGAGAAGCGAGCGGCTACCGGAGTGGAAGCAGTAGGTGTCGCGTGTCAAGCACTCGGTGGGAACACCGGTGGGGGTGTCGCGTCAAACTTGGCCGTGCGCAGAAGACCCCAGAGGGCCGAAACGAGCGTGGGAGTTAGTGACCATGTATCGAGTGGTGAACTCCGTGTCAAACTAATACTGAATAAGTCTAATTACTCGAAATAGGGGTGCAGCCCGGGATGTAGGAAGCCGTCAATAGATTACCCGTAATCCAATAGGGCGCATTCTGTCGGGCGGGGAGCGGGTGCGCCGCCTGGTGTGTAGTGTCGGGCGGCGGGTGAAGTAAAGCATCTACTTATCGTACTAACTGTAATACTTGCTGTAGTCGGAGTCGCTGTCGGGCGGCGGGCGCGGCGCGGGCGCGGAGGGCGCGGCGCGGCAGGCGGAGCATGCGGGGGCGGGGCGGCGCGGCGCGCGCCCGCTGTCGGACGCCGACGTGCCGCTGTTGTCCTCGCCCGCGCTGGTGCAGCGGCTGCTCGACTGCGCGGACGTGGGCTCCGCCTTCGGCGACACCGTGTCTACCCGCGACTGTCGCTTACTCTTATCTACAGTTAGAGACATTTCACTGGAATCGAGGCTCCTGGACTTGCCACATCTTCGTAAGCTCGGGGTCTTGGTACACTCTGCCTGCTTGGAGTCTCCCGCACGCACGTGTCGTCTCTGCCGCCGGTGACGCTTGTTGTTCACGAGTACCAGTCTCCGCGGGGGCTCGCCTCGCAGTGCCGTCAAACTCACCTGCGCGTGAAGTACCTGAGGGTCCACGAGATCCAGATAGCCGACGCTGCAACTCCTAGTCATGGTGTCGTACACGGGGATGGTGGCGCACACAGGACTGATGGGCACCACTGTCGTCGTCCTCTGCACCTTGCCAGTGACCTCCCGAGCCTTGTCCGTCAGATTATTGATAGTGGTATCCACGGGAGTCTCCTCGTCGATAAACTTCAAATCCTCACTCTTTGGCAAGTGCTTCATCGCTTCACCGCGTTTACTCAGAGCGTCTGGGTGCACTTCGTGCTCGTAATTTTTGTTACAGAGTGATTTTAGGATTCTCGTATTCATGTCGTATGAAGCAGACTCGCCTCTGCTGCAAATGTTCTTGCGTAGTTTTGAAAGGCAGTTGTCGGTGACGTGGTTATCACATTTCTTTATCGTGACCTGTCGGCTCGGCTCGAGACTTAAATTAAGATTGAAAGATTGTTGTTCTATGTTGGACAAGTTTCCTTTGAGCGACACGTTATCTCCCCGCACGCTGTAGTCAGTCCTGCCCCCGCAGAAGTCGCCCCGCCCCCCGCACGTGACTGTCTGCGGTGAGGGTCTCTCAAATATGATATCTGTGGGCGCTACTGCGTTTTTAGGCGACTGTAGCGTGGGCACGGAGCTCTCACAGCGCAGTGGGGAGATAGCGTGTCGGTTGGGCACCCCGGCGGGGTTGCTGACCCGGCGCTCGGCGGGCTGGCCGGCGTGCTGGCCCGCGTGCCGGACGGCCGGCGAGTACACGCTCTCTGGCACGTTGTTCACGGTCTCGGTGGTGTCGATGTAAGGGAACTCGTCGTACGACTCGGCTCGCGCCAGGGACGGGCTGCTCGTGTTGTTGTTGTTGGCCGCGTAGCTGTCGTTTTGATTGGTGTTGTTACTATTGTTTAATCTTTCGTTGAGAGTTAACTTTCTTCTGATATTATTATTAGTATGCGAGGGAGAATCGTTGGAGTCGTTGGGTTGAAATACTTCCTCTTCATCCTCGGAGAAGATGTTAGGATTGAAGTTAGGGTCCGGCCCGACAGGGTAGTCGTCCCGAAGCTCTGTGATCATGAGGGTCATCTGCCTCGGCTGGAGATGGAGTAAGGAGGTCTTGTACGTGACCTGGCCGAGGTTGGCCGGGACATTTTTAGCTAAACCATGCATTTTAAATTTAGTTCCCCATATATTAGATGTTACTTCTACTAAACGTACATCCTGTAACAAGAACTTGTGTGTAGATATACAGCTTTATGTGGAAACAAAGAAATTGCATTAAAATATTTATTAAAACATGCTATAAGTTATGAATAAACATGATACCTCGGGCAAGGAGTCGATATACGCGAGTTCGTCGGGTGCGTCTTCCTTCTCACTGGAGTTCCGTACCTTTCGCCTCTCCCGCGCCCGGCGCCGTCGTTGTAGCCGCGGAGATCCAGAGCAACCTGACATTCAACATTATAGTAATCGTTTTCTGAATTGGTTGTATGTAGTATCTACAATTAGTCACCTCACACACAAGGATACTATAATTCCCTTTTAACTTGAAAATAGCACAGCTTTATATGAATAGTTAACGTTAGTTCGTGTCGTGGTGGTCCGGAGGTTAAGGAGTTCGCTTCTCATGCATAAATCGGCTTTGAAACCTGGCAATACCGATGTGACAGACAGTTGCCCAACCACCGCGCCAACCGTGCAGTCACGTATAGGTACGAGGCTTGCATTATTGCACTTGACTTGCAACTCCGACTGCAACAGATAAAGGCTTACCGTTACATATTTGTATGGAACGTACCTTCTTCTCGTTCGGTGTCGGAGGAGGAGGTGTGGCCGTGGTGTTGCAGCGCGGCGTGGGAGGGGCGCGCGCGGGCGGCGCGGGGCGTGCGGGGGGAGGGGGCGCCCCCCCCACTCGACGAGCTCGTCGCGCCGCTACTGCTGCTACTGCTGCTGCTACTCGACGCCTTCTCCGCTGCATAATCACATACACAAATGATGAAAGGTCAATAACAAAGTTTTCCTATTTATTTGACATTATCGGAGGCTCAACCCCCGACACATATATCCTTCTGATGTTGTGCATGTCCAAGGGCGGGATCGAATGCTTACCATGATCCGTCAACTCGATAATAGAAACTGTCGCCTACCTTCAGCTTGTGGATCGAAGATCACGAACTCAGGTCTAATCTTGCTGGTCCTCCTTCCCTTGAGTAGTGGCACAAGGCCCCCGAGGTGTTCCAGGTACAGAGTGTAGGCTCCAGCCTCCTCGTCGTCGTGACGTAACATGGTGCAGTGCAGGCGTCCGCCAGCCGCCGGCGGCCGAGATACGAACAGACGGAGTTCGTTCGTCTCCGGAACGTTACACTGTAATATAGAGAGAGTGTACGTTTTATTCTTGTAATCTATCGTGATGCGCATGTTTAAGATGAAAATTTTAGGAAACAGAGAGTTAAGTAACACTATCAGTTCCATAGGATTGGGAAAGGAGAATCCTCTAACCAGAATAAATTTGAAAGCTAATAGGCCATATAATAAATAATTATATGGCATATTAGCTTTCAAATTTTGCAACGCCTGAAAAAGCTCGTTAAGTTTTGCTTGCTATTTTAAAATATATAAAAAAAACTGGCCGGATTTTCAAGCGGTATTTAATCACGCGAAAACTTCACTGGTACGATGTGCTGACGTGATTTGTGACGTCATGCGTTGAACTTTGTCGTCGATTCTTTGTATGTGTTCGCCAGAAAACTAGGAAAGTGATTTGCCCACCGTGAATAGGCGACATTACCAAAGGTCCATTCCCACCACCAGAAAAAAGTTCGATGTTGCGGGTGTCAAATTGTCAATGGACGATGGCGATGGCAATTGCTAATTTAGGTGACGCGTCTGTTGATTGCCCTATCCATCGATCAAAACCTATATGTAATGTGTTTTGTGCATGAAATAAATAAATAAATAAATATCACATAGACAAAAGCTACTTACCCGTATAGTGTGTGCGAAGAGGTTGGCGAGGGCAGGTTGCAGACGCGGCGGCAGCGGCAGGCGGGGCGCGAGGCGCGGGTCGCGCAGCGCCTGGGCGGCCCGCACGCGCGCCAGCAACTGCAGCGGCGCCACGACGCGCCACACGCGCGCCGTGCACACCGCGCCGCCCGCGCACACGAACAGACGCCGCGCGCAGTGCCCCCACGTCAGCGCGCGCACCGTGCCCTGCGCCCAACCAGTGCGAGTATATCACAAAAATATCCCTTCGATGACAATACTCACCGTACTTGTGACCCGCAGATAGCTTGCAACCTCATTTTTACTCGCGTCTTAGACCTCGTTTACATTGCTTAAATAATAATTATTTGTGTTTGTACAAGCGATAATGCAACCTGCTGCCTGCTGTATATAGATTGTAGATACGACACCCTGCATCTCCGTAAATGTGGCCTTGGGATGTAACCTACATTTTCAACATCAACGACGTATTGACACTAGTGGGTATGGAGTTACCTTTTTTACTCAGCAGATGGCATATAAACTCTCATCTTTCCGTCCGATAGAGAATTAGATAATGTCACCCCATTCAATCTTCGAATTTTGGCAGCTGCTGTAGTTGGTCAAATTGACCATTTCCTAGATGAGCGCCATCTAGTAAGGAAAATAGCTGCCATTGAAGAAGTTACCAAAAAAAATTAGCAACTGACCTGTGTGTAAGGTATGGGCACGGTGTAGATGAGTGCTCCGGTGTCTGAATAGAACTTGACGACGTTCTTGTAAGGGGGCAAATCCGCTGGCTCATCGGCTTCTGCAAATATCATGGAGTGTAACGATTGTTAACGAAACATGGAATACGAAAATTTTGGAACATACGCTTATGGTTGATCTTAATGGATGTCACGAGTGAATCATGAACTCCATTTCTAACTCTGGAACGCACACAAACGCCTCAAATCTTGGATACTGCCGCGAGCGCAACATCGCGCGTCTTTTGCAAGATTGCTGCCCGCTGCTTAAACCGCACGTGCGTTTTATACGTAAATACTTGGATATTAAGTTGTGTTTTTAATGTTTTATCATTGCACAAATCTAGTGCCCCCGACCTTCATTTTCACTCAACCCTAAGGTTATCTGTTTATCATGTGTGCATTTAAGTATAAATAAATAAATATTTTATGACTGTAATAGCTAAGCAGCGAGTTTAATTCAACGTGAACAAATAACGAGTATAAAGAACGCTCCATTTTTACTCAGGACTACCTTACTTCCACGATTAATTTAAAGAAGCCACCGCTCTGCTTGAAGGACTTCTTGAAGTATTTTAATTTTTATCGATTTTCAAACTGCTTCGCGCTATGGTTTTCTTTAGTGTCGTAGGACTCGTATTCACGAGTCCTAAGCGTTGACAATTAAAATAAATTTGCAAGACACTATGTAAATAATAATTATTATTATATATATAATTATTATTTTGCCTATACCATGACATAAACACGTAAAGATATGAGACTATTAAAAAACTATACAAAGCAGACTGCTAAATAAAATATCGCATTGAAACGGCTCCAAATAAAATGAATGCATCGTTTGATCGTTTATCAAAACGATACAAAAGCTCTCCACACGTCGATTTATCAATATCAAGTTGTTCAAAAGAGCTATTGGATTGGCATACGAGTAACCAGATATGAACTTGTGTGCGTAGCTTTTATGTTTAAATGGAAAAAATAGTTAAGCCAACCACCTAATTGATATTTTATATTTTTTTATGTAATAATTATATCGGCCATCGCGTCGACGGATTACCTGATGGTAAGCAATCAGCGTCGTCTATGGCAACAACGAAAAGTTACGAGTGTGTTGCGGACCTTTCGGGGATTAGGGTTTCGGAGATTTCGGGATTGAGGGAGGGGAAGGATTGGTAACGTCACTCACACAGCGAAACACAACGCTTTGGTTGTTTCATGGTTTTCTATGAGGCCGTGGTATCACTTTGGTCGATCCGACCCATTCGTGCCGAAGCATGGCTTTCCCACACTTGCAAATTTTTATTATTAAATTAAAGGCTTTTTTTGTTCTTAAATTCAAATGTTACACTTATATAAAAATGTGTTAATTATGATGATTTTCGACAGTGTACGAAATATAGTACTGTCTTAAAAGTACTGATTTCACACACATCGACAACTTTAGTGCATTTCTATGTCATCTAAGCTAAAAATTGGCGTTACATGGAGAAGATTTAAGGTTTCCCTAGTGCAAAACATTGTTTAATTTTCAAGGTAAACGTATTAACTACTTGTTAATAATGGGGTTTTATTTACACTTTCCTTAGGTAAAAGCCCTTTTTAAATATTAGATATTAATTTGTCAATGAAAACTTGGACCTGCGTATAATTAAATTATATATTTATACATTATACCTATATTTTCATTGACAAATTCACAACTCACTTGTCACTGGTCACTTGTTCACAACCACTAAAATGAATATAAGTCAATTAATACTGCAGTAGGTACAGTAGCAACAAAAAAAACAAAACAATTCCTCACCAGCAATGAGAGTTCCTGCTACAGCCAGTAGCTCCCTGGAGTTGGCCCACTCCATGGCCAGCGTGTTGCCCCGCAGCCCAGTGGACACTCGCACCGGGCTGACGTCATCGTGCCCCCTCAGCAGCACTATCTCCCCGCTACCGAGCGCTACGGCCAGCACATGCCCCCCATTGTTTTCCCCTGTCTCCTCGCCTTCCTCCATCTTGAACTTCTCACAAGACCACGCCATGGAAATGATGCCCCCTTCAGCTACGAGTTGCACCTATCGGTAATAAAACGATTGAATGTAAGTACAATATTTTTCAACCTTAGTCATTATTAGGTATTTTTAAACAACTTTTGTACTTAAACTTTCATATCATTACCAAGAAGTGGTTGCAAGAAACTTCAATGTTAAATGAAAATCAAGTCACATCATTTATTTCAAATAGGCACTTTTGAACGTTCAACTGAGCTGAGCTTGCTGGTAATGACACCCAGACATAGGTATGTTATAATAAAAATTGACTCAGTAGGTACAGAGCGATATCTACACTAAATGACATGGTATTTAATGTGGTCATAATTTTTTTAACCGCATTTCAGTTTAGATGTCAATTTTTTTTTGTTGTGTTCAATTTGTTGCCAACAAATAACTGAGCAGGATATGTCTAAATAAACTGGACTGTCCCATTGGGAAGGTTGATGATAATTATGTACATAATTATTTATATCTAACATTACCTGTGAAACCATAGCGCCGTGGACGTCCATGACTACGAGTTGTGCGGAAGCAGTGCCCAGGTACACTTGGTTGTCATCCGGTGTCCAGCAGCCGCACGTGATGCGCGCGTCCAGAGACAACATGGACGACCAGTACCGCTGGCCTGCCACCGAGCCAACTAACACGAACCCGTCCTGATTAACAAATAAAATCATCTTTATTGATTCTGTTCATATAAATGTCGGACCGGAGACCGGATATAATGACCGGAGTGGCACCACGGCCTCACAGAAAACTGACGTGAAACAACTGAAGCGTTTTGTTTCGCCGTGTGAGTCAGTGGCCCAATTTTCTAATGCCAAACTTACATGATATGTATCATTTTTCAAGTACGAGCATTTTTCGGTACATTTTTGATCAATCTCCCTGTTTTAAAGGCCAGTAATCACGTTATAAATTAGGTTATGTTGTGGGTGCCCATAGGAGGTGCTGATTCTTACCATCAGGTGAGGTGTACGCTGGTTTTCCCGCTTTAGAATGTTATAACATCCTTTGTTAAAAGGTCTACCAAGACAGCAAATGAAGGATCAGAGGGCATATGTGCAGTAGGTACCTACTTGAAAGCAGTGGTCAGCAGTGTGTTTTATTTGTGTACCTATTACATTCGACCGAGCCTGACGGAGAACGCCTACGTTCACAAGGCTCTTCAGTTCATCAAAAGGCGACTAAAAACGATAATGTCAACAACCCTCCTTTGTGCTAAAATAAAACAATATTCACTATTGTTTACTGCACCCATAGATAATGAGGCTTAAAATGTTATTAATAGAATGACTTCGAAATTAAGAGCCTACTTAAAACTAAGCCATGCCCCGTTACCGGTGTACGATGTGTAAATAACTCCCAACGGAATAGAACAAATGTTTCTAAAAGCTTTGTATGCCTGAAATGTTTACCTAACCTAAGTAATTAATGCAAATGTTTTGTTGCTGTTTTGTGCGCATTTGTAATAACAATGTGAAATATTAATTGTTTCTAAATAAACACATTCATTTTAGAACATACTTTGCCGAATTAAGTAACAAATGTTCGGCAAAATTCTACCAAGCATGATTTCAAGTTATTTGGCAAGATATTTATAGCCCACGCATAAAGCTATTCATGAATGGCTATAGAAATGTATCTACCGCACTCCACATTCAATCTACGGAACAAGGACCAGACGTAGAAATAAGTAAGAAAGGTTGTAACAATAAAGGAAACCCGTAAACCGCAGAAAATGGGCTATCAATCAACCCGAAAGATTTCATCTCTTATAACGCTCACGATCGCCGTGATGTTATAATAAATTGGATTGGACCCACAGCCGCTACAAACTTCATCGTCCCTAACCGATTTCACAGTTTTTATTGTCACCCTGCAAAACTTTTCCATCAATACAAGGGGTGTTACCGTGTTGGGTCGCCAGCCAATATTAGCATAAAAAGAACCCAGTGAGGAGCTGTGCCAAAATCATATTGTCAAGGCCTGTGTGTTCCAGTTATTCGTAGACTCTGAAGACAATGGAAGACGCTACTCTTTGTAAGCTAAGTATGATACGAGTGTATTGTGTGTAGCTACAGTAACGTGCATATACCAATACGAAATATTACGACAAGCTTTAAGGTACCTAGTCACGTCAATATCAGATTAGGTACTACCTAGTTTCTATCATTTCATTTGTCTTGATATTATTTGGAACAAATTCCTATCAACTACTTAATTCTAATTTCGCCAGAAAATATTTTACATTGGGTATAATTTCGCTGGCTCAAATATAATTAAAAAATTAGATTTAGTTTTACCCATAGAAATTGTTAGGCTTATTTAGGTACATATTTAAACAATTGATTAGTCAACTTGCCTTAGTAAAAACATTTGTTCTTTCGACTTTTTATAGCAATGACAAAGTTATAATAAATAATCATACTTTCATTTCCTTGTCTTGGGTACATTATTCTATTCGTATTTATCTTCTCTCTTATTCAAGACACAGGTAGGTACGTAAGATACGCTATTTGGCGTAAAAAAATTACGTCACAACACAGTCCCGTATAAAATTCATACCTACTTAGAAAATTGACGATTTCGACAATTATAGATAAGTTGAATAATGCCAGTTGTCAAGTATCTGTCGTAAACCTCATAAATAATAGAATGGCTTCACAATGCAGACACTGCAATACGTAATTCACGACTAGAGTAGATAAGCTTATAAGTTCTTGCTAGCCAAGATGTTACTACATATAAAAAATATGTCCTTTAAATTGGAGTTTGTTTAGCACCTATCCCTTAGACAATGACGAGTACTAATATTGAGATCGGAGCGCGCCCCCGCAACATCGGCACACCTTTCTAAGCACGCTTCACGTTTGTTTGTATTCAGAGGTGTCACGTAACGTCCGCCAGCCGGTGTCACGGAGAAGCCTTTTAGCAAATTGCTAGCGACATTTCGACTGATCCGGCGGAGGGTTTGCTCCAAATTCACGTGGATGCACACCACGTGGCGTAATTGTAATGACATGTTGTTGTTGGTTCGACGATACTTTGATAACAAATCGGTTATTTGTAAACGTGACTAAGTAGAACTAAAAGATAGACAGCTTTATATTGTCTCCTTTGTCCAATATCTTATGGATAGTGATTACTGAAATGTTTTCTGAAATAGTACCAAGCAACGACCGACCTAATCTAAAATTCGTTAAATTATTTATTCATAACAACCCCAATTCCGAAAAAACTATAATATTCAACAAAATATGAGCTTTATATTGGCAAAGCCTTATTTTTTGCCCGTTCCGCTTTTATACGGTACCCGCTACCGAGCAACGTAATAGGTATGATGTATATCCAATTTGCTTACATAAGGCCGCCCAAACATAGTTTTAGAAACGAGCGCGCCTGCACTGAAAGGTTTCTAAACAAACTGAGTTCCATTTTAGGTAAGGTACACCGAAAAGATATAATTTAGTCTTCACATACCAATTTAACATACAAATTAAGTTTAATTTGCATATTCATAACGTAATCTAGAATTTTAGAGGTAACGCTTTAATTAATATTTATGCAAAGGAATTAAATAGTCTTAGGCTTTCTAACAAACTTGAAACAATGTTATGAGGCATTCAGTGAACTAGCGAACAACGTACGTACCTAGCTATTTATTTACTGTAGGTACTAACTCCTTTTCTTTTAGTTCACATCACATGAATATATATACCATATATGTACTTATAATAGCGACCTGCTGCGGAGTATCAATTTAGAGATTCTTGAAGATTGTTGCGGCCTCGACAGATGGGTAATAAATCCCTTTATAGACTTCGTAAGGGGTTCTAGGCAACCAATTTCAAAGAAAGTATCAGTTTGGGAAAAAACCGGTAGGTACCTAAACTACAGACTACCTATGTAAAGTATATGTAATACATTTATTTGCTTAGCTTCAGTCCCCGCTCGTTTGAATGTGTGTGGAAAATTACGTGGGACTCGTCGTCCGCAGATATTCCTATCAATAAATTAACTGTACGTACATGTAGAGGACCACTGTTTGCGTTAGGCGATGTTTCACTCCCGAGCCCCGGAAGGCACGTAAATTAAGTAGGTTACGTTACGTTTGGGGGCTTAGGTTGGATTGTCAACCGGACCATCGTCTGTTATTCTGTCAGTTTAACCTTTCTAGTATTTTAGGAATTAATATGATAATAAATATTTACTTTTTTTCTCTTAATTTTTTTCATTGGTAAAAATCATCTAATAACAATTCCTGGGTTGAGTGGGCCCCTCCCACTCAATCCAGGAATTGTTATTGGAAGACTTGTATGAGATTTGTATGTGAAGACTAAATTATATCAGACTCGTACTGACTAAAAGCCACCTGAGTTTCGATTTCTGCTTCGTGCCGAGGCATCAATAAGGTGAATTGGTGACCTGACCTGCCCGTCTGCAGTAGTTTACGGAACGCAACGCGCTGTACGCTCGGGTCTTGTTCTGGTCGGACACATACCTGATAACAAATGAGTGCCATCCGTCCATCGTGTGACCAAGAGAAATGTGTGACTGGAGTACTTCTGTCATTGATCAGCTCGATGCTCCACCGACCCTCGTATTTGATCCACACGAAGATCACTCCGCTGCTGTCGCACGACGCTAACTTCTGATATGGCTCGTTCCATTTTACCAGGATTACCTGGTAAAAAATAATCATTAATTAAAAGCTTTTAATGGTACGGGGTGGGTAATAAGTTCTAGTGTAAGTAGCCAGGGATTCAGCCCTATGGGTTGTCAAACCTGGAATGAAGAGAGGACTGTTGAGAGTACGCTTTATGTAAAAAACTCATGTTTTGTTGAACCTTGTTTTATGAGACCCAGGGCCAACCCTAGGTAATTTGCGTAAAAGTGTGGAGAAAAAATAGGTATTGTTAATAGAATATTAGAGAAGAGTTGAAAGCAGCCTTAATTCCATTTGGCTGCAATTAAGTACATCAGCAAGACATCCAGCATTAAGAAAAATATAACAACTAAGTTTTACAATGTAGAAAGGGAGACCTAGTAATTTAAATCTAAGTATGTATGTTAAACTTCCATTTACGAAAATAACACCAGAGGCAGAGGTACTTTAAGATAATCTAGAAATTTAGCTGACTTATCGCACGTCAGAAATGTCTGGCATACGTCACGTACATATGTCACCTACAAATACAGCTACAGAAGATCTGTCTCGATTATATAGCAGACAACTAAATAACGACTCCAGCCGTGGGCGGAGTTAAGTAAGGATTGAGTACATACACACATACAAAATTAACGCACTAATAAATCCACTTAATTTCTCACAAATCCAACTTAATTACTACTTACTCGTAATGTTGATACGCTTGGAATCATTTCTCGATATAAAACGAATGAGCCGTGCATGTACCTACTTGTTAAGAGGACACTTACGAATTATTCATGTCCATAAGTCTATTCATGTAAATGTAGGAGAGCCATGCTTCGGAACGATGTGAATGGGTCGGTTCGATCAGAGTGATACCAAGGTAAAATCCTAAAAGATCGGCAACGCACTCGTAACTCCTTTGGTGTTGCGGGTGTCCATGGGCGGCGCTGATTGCTTACCATCAGGTAATGCGTGTGCTCGTTTGCCGTCCTGTCACATAAAAAAATATTTCACGTATATAGAACTTAGAGCTAGTGAACTCACTATCTCTGAGGGACAATTATAATGATATAAAAGCCTAAGTAGGTCAAAAGTAAGAATTAAAAATGTTTTATTAATTATCTACGTCGTTTGTCTAACTAGTTGTAAAAATGGGTAAGACTGTTTTGTTTTTGCGTTGCTTCATAAGTTCATTCAGGTACCTAGTGAAACCTGTATTCTGTAATGCAGATATATCTGTGTAGGTACGGTTTTAATTACTTATAATTGATAAACAAGCAGTAACAAATAAGTTTACTTGATTAGGTACGTATCTATACATACCTATTATGAAAAGCAGACGACATTTTTCATAATTAAGTACTCCTATTCTAAACTTTAGTTTGCAATGTTTTTGCAAGCACCAGAATAATGTTCCCACAATATTTTTCGCAGGAAAAAGTATAACGACGTCAGGCACACGACCTTAACTTTTTAATTTATCAACTTGAACATTAACTACGTGAACATTGCGAATACTAGGTATTTGCTCGTTTCTCGTACATCCAGCGCCAAGAATCCACTCTAGTGACAGCTCTAGATTAATTACCGAACCTACGTAGTTTTAATTAAGGTGCAGTACTAAGTATAATACCCGACTCTTGAATACCTATAGTACCACAGCATTCAGACTCACTATCGAATGGAAAATTCTGTATCTAACTAAAAGCTTAAATTTTCTTTGTGATGACTTCAAATAAGATTAGATTTCAGATTTTAATTCTGAGCTTGGATACCAATATATTTTAATTTCAGAAGCCTGATTAATTAGACCCAGTAGCTGAGGATTTAGTTAACGCAAGAGTTTCAGTACTAGTAAGGTATTAGAGGGAGGTAATTGATTGGTGTCGGCGCGCGGCGCGGCGTTGTTCGAGGCTAGTTTGAGCGATGCGATGGACCAGATGCAATCCGTCTTCCTAACTCCTAAACACAACCTTTTGGACTAATTACAATGAAGTTTTGAAAGCATAATTATATCGACACCTCACACTACATAGTACGATATCTTCTCAACTAAGACAATAAAGTGTAATAGGGAGACGGTAAAAAGCATTGGCTCTCAATAAAAGCGGATAAACTTTATGGCTACTGATAGATTACAGCTTTACCCGTTCAAGTAGAAGAGCGAAAACAATATTAACATAAAGGAAATTCCTGTTTATCCAATTGGCTGTACAAACATTCTTAAGCTACTCAAGATAGGCAGCAAAAACGTAGATATATTTATATTTGAAGATTATACTCGTCGTGTTCGAGACGCAATGTTATTACACATTCCACGTGTCCTTGGCAGCTTCGCTCCATATAAGTTACACCCACTTAGAGAAACTGTCGAGATGCGGAGGAATCCAATGTTACGCACATTGCTAGCAATCACACGTTTGACACAAGCCCTGCGACTTTAGAACATCAAATTTATGAGAATGTATGAACTCGTCTGTGCCTACACCTAGTTCAATTAGTGAGAGCTCTGGCATCTTCGGTCTCGATGTGTCTGTAAAGCTTCCTTGCTCACAAGATAGACTACGCAGGTTTATTGTGTCTACGTACATTCATTTAGGAAGTGAATAGTTGGTAGTTTCGTACTGTGTTTTGGGTATTATGGGGTTCAATAAAGATCTACTACGGTTAAAGCTTTATTGAAATATATGGCTTACATTTCATAAGTAAAATCCAAAAGAAGTTAATTTACTTACATAAGATTTTTTTTATTTAGTTAATTATATGTATCAGTCAACATGTAACATTTACTTAGTCAAACACTGAACTAATCAGATTATGTACAATGTACATTACATACCAACTGCGTATTTTCACGAAACAAAGAAAGTAATAATTTACACAATACTATTCGTGGGTAGCGAATCGATCAACAAAAAGTTTCCAAGTTCGTTAATTACATTTTTGCCTGTCGGCTGCAGGTGTCTGTTGTTGTAACCTAGTATCATGAAAACACGTCGACACCACACTTGAACGAATAAGTAGGCACGAACCAAGAACCTAAGTGTTATTTTTGCAAATATTATGCTTGGATAAATATAAAAGGGCTTCACTGAAGGCCAGGCCGAGTGCCACTTAAACACGATAGGGTGGGGCTTAAAACAAAGTCATATATTACAACGCTCGAGGACTTGGCCTTTTGAATGTTACACAGTCCGCTCATTGCTACTGGAGTTTCCTTGTTGCTTTTGTAACGGACACAACAATTTAAATTAGGGATGTTAAAACGCCTTTCTTTAATTGTCTTATAAAAGATTGCACTTAAGGTGACCTTACGTTTCAGACACGAGATGAGGTTAAAAATTCAATAATCAGTTTTTTCTTCTACTCCTGCGACAACAGGGTTTTTACTAAAGTTCTATTCTATTCCGAATCACAATTTGTATTATTACATCCAATTTTCACTCGCATAAGTCCTTTTTACCCTAATTACGATTGCAAAATGCTTCCTCTTCTTTCTTTCAAATAACACCTGGCGACGTTTCTTGACTCCTATCGATTTGTTCGCGACTGTACCTACCAGTACTTATTTCCAAGCAAGTTGTCGGAGGGGACATTATCCTTAATATGGCAAGGTACAAAGGTATAGGAATCACGATCCTTTTAGACATACTTGTAGAAGTACAAAACTCTAAAACGATGAATAAATATTGGCAAAAACATAGAAAGAATGGATAATATGTATTGTAATAGTCATCAACACGATGAAGACTTACATTACAAAAGTAATGTGTATTAGGCAACGTACACAAAGCTTTATCAGTACCTACTCGTATGAAACTGGTAGAATCGCAAGGTAACTACAACCGCCATTCGTATAGAGAGGAAAATCATCGAATGGGACAAATACGTGTTTGATTGTTTGTCAAACAACTTGATTACTTGATTGTCCTACTGATTGATCTCAAAATGTTCAATTATGTTATATAAGGGACTATTATAGAACAAGAACAAATAGACGACAAAGGACTCCCACGTTGAGGAACGATATTAAATCGCTGTTCAAACAATCCCGAATAGTCCGTAAACAAGTTGATTTTAATGAGGCAGACTCGGATACACGGTAATTACAATGATAAGACGACATTTTGTTTGTTTGTTCAACTTTTTTAATATCATTCGCCTTTTGTGTTCAAAAGAATAATATCGTGTAACTTTTCCTGTTTTTTCCTGGTAAGAGTAGAAAACGGTGATGTTTATTTCGGGCTCGTTTCTTTAACTATTTAATTAAGAGCGAGAGTATCGAACGCAGAATTCTAGATTTTATTCTTATACTAAGACTTCGTTCTCTTTAACGTACAATAACCTTAAATTTTTTGCAGCCCGATTACGAGGACTATCAGTTCGTGTTCAGATGAGCTAAGTGCTGTGTGTAATGTAGCGTGAGACCCGATTGTCTAATCACCGTAGCTGTCAAAAATGTAATGTCCAAAGATTTGACATTAGAAAATTCTCAATGGAGCGAACTTTATTTGCCACTAGCGCCATTAGCGGCGAATTGTTACATCGTAGTAATAAAGTAATGTAGTCTGAAATCCTAAATGAGGAATTTAAGATTTCATACTATGCAGCATTTTTAGTCCAACGTAGTCATTATTTATGATATTAGGTACAGCTTTACGCTTTTACATCCCACGTTCATCTCCTTTCGCATCTGTTTCAGTTGACCGCTGGCTCCTTTTATTTATTTTGTAAAACGTATTTAACGGCAATGCGCAAACCACGGCCGTGTTGCTGGTAAAAGCATTCGCTTATCTCCGGTCGCCACATTTCAGCAAGACTAGAGACCAAACTTTCTATAGTGAAAAGGTTGCACGTTCCGTTCCAACTGGATCCTGTGGATTTTTCCCACAAAAGAGTAGTAATGTATATAATGTAAAGATGCATTTTCTTCTTACATTAGCAAAAGTAAAGAGCATAAATGAATATCTTGTCATTTGTACCTATTCTCTCTGAAAAGCGGCATTTCACAAGGGTATTTTAACGAATACCTATATGTATTAAATCTCGTACTCATATAAACTACGAAGGAAATGTTAACGAGCGCACATAACATCCACAAAAACCGAATAAGTACGAGGAAAGTGTTCGGATTCGGTTTTTAAAATTCTATCTTTTCGAAATTCTAAAGCAGGTCTCGCCACCGGTATGTTGCTAAGGTAACTTGTGTAGTCCAACCTAATACATAGGTACAAAGTTAAACTTTTCCTGGTCCAAGAGATACCATCACGCGATGTCACTTACAAAGATTTCTATCGAGATTACAACTTCGATTTCTTGGCTAACACAAAGGTCACAAACAATTTTAGTGCCGTTTGCTACATTCAATATTTCCCTCCGGTAATATTCCGATTTACAAACATTTTATACGCGTACATTCCGTCAGGACTCGAAACAATTCACGTGTTATGTAGCTGTTACGGCAGTTTACAGCAGTCACATCCATTCAAAACCATTATCAGGGTCGTGACTTGAAATTAAACTCGGATTTACATTGTGTCTACGTCAAACACGTTAATTTCTCTGGTCTGGCAGATTCCAAATGGATAGCTCAAATTTTAGGTCAGAGCAGAATCCCTACCTACTTACATTGAACCCAGACCTAAATAGAAAATCGATGAGAATTTTCTACATTCTACATTGCTTTTGTAAAAAAGTACTCAAGGGACTAAATCGGGATCAATACGATATATACCCACACAGGAAAGTAGGGACTCATTGTATGAGTTCATTTTGCGAAACCATATAAAAACACAATTGAATCGACTGTGCCTGCAAACGGTTTGTACTTTTGATCTGCGAAATTTGTTTTAGAGGAAAATATTTGAAGAATACTCACATCAGATCGATGTCCGCGCAGATTGTAATTCGTGCGCAATGGCAGTTCGTGTGGCCGGCGCGCATGCGACGATGTGAACGTAACTCCAACCACTCCGCGGACGTTCCCTGTAGCCAGCCATCCTTCCTGGTAATAGTTGTTGCGGTTGAGCTTCCAGCCCTCCTCCTGTTCAAACAAAACCACTTTTTTATTGCTGTAAGAAGTTAATTTGGCCTAGAATCCCAACCTTGACCTTGATTGCAATATCGTGCAGCTTTGAACTCGTATTTTTATTTTATATTGCAGTTGAACTAACACAAATGGTTTTGAATATCAAGCGCATACTAAAACTAGTAAATGAACCTGTGCAACCCTACATACCAAAAATGGATATTTGTACGGGAGCTGTCTACTAATGGTTTTAAAAGGACCTAAGTAAGTACCTATATTAAATAATTGCAGTAACTTACTCTCTTACTTTTACATAAGTAAACATACCTATTGCGCTGGATAGGGGCGCTAAGCCGAAAGGGTAATAAAATACCCATTGAAATGAATAAATGAATTCATTCTTGAACTTTAGTTTTAAAAATACATCATAACGAGTTATTAATTTTTGAGGGCGGAAGTAATTTTGCGGTCCCGTGGGCCACGTAATGGGCATAGCGAACCCTGCAGGTAATTTACGAGAACCCTGAGTGTTCCTAGCTTTTAGACTAAAGGTGAGGTAGGTTAGGTAACAAATTAAATCTTTGCACGCTCTCGCTGTATACCATTAGCTAACTTCGTTAGTAGGTACATCCAACATGTTCCCACGAAGCGCAAGAGAAATGGTGCTACGGGATACCTACTATAGTGTAATGTTACAGAGAGAAGTTCTATACATACACTACATAAAAACATGCAAAAAGGCTGTTCTGATACAAATCGAATAATTAATTTTTAATATGTCTACAAATAGCATGTTCACTTGAACGGGCCGCATTAATAGGAAGCCAGGCAATTAACAGGCACGTAATGGTGCATGCCCGTCCCGACGACGGCGGCAGACCGGAGATCGAAGGCGAAATTGGCAATTAGCTAGATATTACGATCCGACACCCTTCGCTCCATTAATCCATACGTCGGCGCCCAATTAGGACACATTTCTTATCAATTAGTGCCATATCCTGAAAACCTATCACTTGAGCACACGGATCACCTTTTTTAATCGAAGTTAGGCACAATATTTGAGCTGGATACTACAATTAAAGGGGTTTGAAGGATAAAACTCGATATTTTCCTTTAAAATCCCAATTGAAACAACTTGATACCGTTGTTCTAACAATTACAAAACAAATACGCACTCAATGCTCTCAAATGGGACTCAAGACCATTTTTTGCTGAACGATAAAAGGCAAAGTGCTTTCTTTACTTTATTCAGATGGCTTAATTAAAATCCGTTAAAAGGCCTGAGTGGAAATATAATTGAGAACAAGAGGCAATATTACGAATGATTTCATGTATCTAAACACCATAGTTTTGCCGTTTTGGCGGGCTTGCCATTTTTCTCAAATAGTTTCAGATTATGTGAGCATAATGGACTAAAATGCCAAAGCATCAATACCCCAAAGATTATTTCTAATGATGAAAATGTTTTAAAATTGGTCTAGTAATTTCTGAGCCTATTAAAGGTAAACCAAGTATCAAATTTAGCCTTTGTGTAATGTGTGTAAGTGAGCTACCTACAGACAATCAACCTATAAAATTTTAGGGTGCATTAGGATATTTCGTTATTAAAGAGTGAAATCGGTCGGAAATTTAAAGTGGCGACTTCGCCACTTCATTAAACCAGTTACAAGCGCAGAGCGCTGATAGTGCAGTGTCTCCAACTAGCTGTGACTAATGAGGACTGGGAGTCTGTTTACAGTACATATATTCGTGTTTGAACTGTAAACGGACAACAGAATCCTATGTTGACTAGGAAATCTATAGAAGGGCTAACATCACTTCTTAAAATGGCTGGTATTCGTTAATGCTGTTTTTGTGCCTACTTGATATAGAGACCTAATAGGAACCTACGCTTAAAAGTTATACAATAAAATAATACTCGATGACTATTTGTAATCTTTAATTTGTATTCTTTTTTTATATGACTGCACAGTTTATTTTAAAACTGGGCAACCGAATGCCGGTTCGATTCCCTCACGAAACAGCTCTTTGTGTGATCCACTATGCACTAATTCATGTCTGGTTTAACGTGTATGTGAATCATATTTTTGTAAACGCGCCTAATACGGCTCAAGACGAAATCTTAAAGTAAGTTTTATAAAAATTAAAATCAGAATCTACTTATTATACAAGTAAAAGCAAAAAAGTAATAAATTATGCCTGAGCACATAATAGTTTTTTCCTCAAAGAAAATTCATACAATAGCAAATAAGGTCACCTAATGTTTTGCCAAAGGTCTAAGGTTGAATCGGGACGGATTGATGTCGTTAGATGTGTTGCTACATTGAAAGTACTGGCATTATATATCATAGAAAATGACAAGACGTTGAATCAGTAGTTGTAGCCAGTTTCACAGATAACACCTAGCGAAAACAAAGTACCTACTAGCTGGCTTTCCCTACCGAAATTATCTATTCATTCATTCATTCCGATGGCAGTCGTAAAAAGAGCTATTTTGTTGCTATTCCACGGGGCCCATCACCGGGCACCTTGTTGCATTCTGATACGATGTTACGCGGCAGCGCGTCAAAATTACCCCCAGGTGACGAGCGTTGCATAGAAATTGAATTTAAATAGGTCAAAAGCTGGGAACAACTGAAGAAAGGTTAATTGAATTGGAGCCCTCACCATCCTGGCACTTGCTTCGTAAATTTATATCGTTACCTAGACCACGGCAGAACATCTCTTCAACAGATTTCAGCCACAAACTAATTCAAAGGTTTATGTGGCGCATTTATAACAAAACAATGAATTATGGAACAATACCTTCGGGTAAGAACCCTCCGTAGGGTACATGAGTATGTACACCCACACTAAACATGTGAATGCGACTATTGTTTAACTCTCCTATTAATCTTTTATTATTAGTGTAACACTTTATAAAGTAGCTTTTAATTATGTCTGTAGGGTCGTTTCGTTTCACATTATTTGGGGACAGCCGTAGTAGGTTTAGTCCTGGACGTATTATTATTATCTTCGGGATTAGTCCAAAACGTTAACTACCTCCCTATTTAATGCGTAATATTCAACCCACAAAGATACAAAGTTACGCTAATGTAAATTAAATTCAGTTCAGTAACTCATAAAAGATAACAAAGTTGTTCTAACCGTAGAATTGCTCATAATTTGTTAAATGACATTGAGCTCGATTCTGCAAAATACCAAACTTCGTATATTAGTATTATGCGTGGCAAAGTTGCAGCGATTGTAACTCTCTTTTCAGCGAAACTTAGCGCGTCTCTTGCTATATCTTCAATAACATCATCTTCAATAAAATTGAAACTAAAGTTTAAGAATAAATATTGTGACTTACCTCTGGAAGCTCGTCTGGCACCTTCCCCATCCAGGACAGCGACAGTATGGAGCAGTCGCATTTTGCATTTACGTTTCTCTCGAAGTGAAGATGCATTTTCGCTGTATAAGTTCAGACGTAAACTCAAACGTACAACATCGTCGGTATACTATGCAGACACGCGCGGGACTCGGGCCGTACGCGAGCCGTTTCGCGTACAAGAAAGCTGGCGAATTTTCGCGCACATTTTATGTGGTCTAGTTATAATACATTTTGGAACGGATACTGAAAGATAATTTATGTTGGAGTGTGAAGTGGTCGGGCAGAGCCGCAGAGCGCGTCGGTCGGCTCCCCGCTGACGTGACAGAGGGTGACAAGCGAGCCTTCGGGACGGCGGCGGTCGGCGCAGGTATTGATTGCGCAGGGAGGGCGCGCGCACCCCACGACCTCTACCGCTACCGCGAAAAACCGGGGAAACCCACGGAAAGTCCGCTGAGATGGCGCTGCGATACCAAACACGAGGACCGAACTACATCTGCGATACTTTGACTTAATGTATTCCTACTACGCTCAAGTCTCGCAGGTAAATATTGATAACAATTTACATTTCAAATATTAAACGCAAAGTATTCCTTCGTTCTACGAAATAAAATTACTTTTAATTTTAAGAGGTATATTAAAATTTATATTTATATAGACACTTAATAGATTTGTAATGTGGCAAATTTAAAATTAATAGATTACTTAACATAAATATAATTACTCCAAGTAAAAATCCTACAGCATTTTATCTCAATTCCCATTGCGACTACTTCGAAGTATTATTTCGAGGGCACTCTTTCTAACTACGCAAGTGCCTAGTACCTGTACCTATGTACTCCAATTTTCATTTTCTAGAATCCAACTTTTATTAAGAAAGGCTTTTAAATTTTGACGCGGAGTGAAATTGAGTGAGCGATATTGGTAAATCCGTTTTAAAACACAGCAATATTTTTAAAGTATATTTTTTAAATACTTGTTTTGGCTTTTTTTTGGTTTCTAGTACCAGTGTGACTGGTTGCGAGTTATATGTACTTTCTATGATTATTTAGATAGCACGGTGAAGGAAAATATCCTGAGGAAACCTGAACTTATAATTTCTAATTATAAGTTTGAAAACGCCAATCTGCCTTGAGCAAGCGTAGTGATTAATGCTCAAACCATTTCTTCGCTCCGTGTGAGAAGTCTTTGCTCAGCAGTGGGCACTTATAGGCTGATTATGTGTGCTGTGAATATTTTTAAGGCCTACATACAGCTATCGCATTAGATAACTATATACCAAATTATGCAAGTATCTATATAACTTGGTACTTGGAACTTTCTTTCTTTCTTAACTTTCTTGGTACTTTCTATTAACTGCTGCTTAAACGTAGCAAGAAAAGCCATAAATGTACGACAATCTATAGTTTATTAGCTATAAAAACAGATTACATTACTTTACGACTACAAAGACAAAATATCACAGAATTTAGACTAAACATTATATAAATAAATAGATATTTCATGATTCGTTAAACTTGATTTCGTTCAAGGAGCCCCAGGTGAGTCCAGTCTTCACTTTGACAGGTAGGGGCACTCGCAGAGTGACGGTGTCCTCCATGACTTGCTTCATAATGCCTATGAAGTACTGTTGGTGGGTCTCGTGCACTTCGTAAATGAGTTCATCGTGCATCTGCAGTATCAAACGAGGTTTAGGATCGAGCGAGTCTGTTTTGGTGTCTATGGAACACATCGCGGCTTTAGCTATGTCCGCCGCTGACCCTTGTATTGTAGTGTTTACTGCTTGACGCTCAGCAGCACCTAGTTTGAAAAAAGAATCTATAGTCATTAATCCTACCAAAATCAAATTTGAAAGTTTGCGAGAATGTATAGATGTTTGTTTGTTATTCTTGCACGCAAAAACAGCTGGACCAATTTAGTGGAAATTTGGTATGAAGATAGGTGAAAGGTGACAACAACAACAACAGAGCAGATGAAGCCGCGAGCGGAAGCTAGTATTTTTTTTTAAGATGCGTAATTTTTGCAATGAATTTAACGTATTGTAGTCGTACAATATAGAATTTATACTCACTTCTCTTAGTTCCAGAATTGCTGTTTATATCAGGCAAGTATCGTCTTCGTCTAGTGAGTGTCTCGATGTATCCCCGCTGCCTGCACTCCTCGATAATGGACTGAGTGAACGCCTTCACGGCTGGATATGTTTTATAGAAGGAGTCCATGAAAACTGCCGCCTCCATCTCAGTGACATCGAGCAGTTGCCCCAATGTTTTGTTACCCATTCCATAAATAATTCCGTAACAAAGCTGCTTGGCTTTTTGCCTGAGATCATCGTCTACCTGTTAATAATTCAACTTTTATTATTCCAATAGCGATCGTAAAAAGTTTCAATCTACATAAAATAGGAAGCCTAATCCATTCGACTGTTCTTTGTCGTTGAACTTCAAAGGTTTACAAACAATACAGACGTTTTTGCTAAATATAGCGGACTAGCGTCGCAGATTTATGTAACAATTCCAGAAAGTACCTAACTTGCCTACGTAGGGTGCGTAATAATAAAAATGTAATTGGGACTCAGACAAATTTGTCTATTTCAAGTACCTAATAAACGCACACGAATAAAATTTTGTCGTAAACGTTACTCGAACTTAGCAGACGTTATCTTTCTATTATATCTGCTGATGCCTCCGAATTCGATAAGTCGAAAACAATATTTTGTATTTGCTATTTCGGATCTGTGAGTAAGAATGAAATGAACTGTCACCTCCTCTTCAGGCACGTTGCTCCAGGACGCCGCAACAGCTTTAAAAACATCTATATCAGATTTCATAATTTTCATCAACACCTGGTCTTGACTGAAGTGCGTCAGTATTCTCATTTCCAACTGACAATAGTCGGCCGACACAATGACGTAGCCAGGGGCGGATTTGAATATGTTTCTACAGTTGAACTCCACAACGTCATCACTTACGGCTGAGTGCACCGTCAAGTACTCGCAGGGTATTGTAAATGTTCGCGGCACATTCTGCAGGTTTGGCTCGTGCATACTGATCCGGCCCGTGCAAGTGAACATTGTGTACGACGGATTTATTCTGCGAATAAAAATATAAGTTTGCGGCAAGCTCTCACTTTAATTAAGCCTCCCTGCCCCACGCTTTGATCACCACCCGCCCGTGCGTGTGTGAACTGCTTATAAAGCACAAAGCACCAAGTTGGTATTCACTTAATGCGAGAAGTGGTCCTTCGTCATACAATTGAACATTATAGGTAATAGAGTTATTTCCTACTGCATAACAATATTTGCAACTTGTTCGCTAGGCAGAAATATAAAACGACGGCGACACGTGGAGCACAAAGTTTTATAAATAGATACATTGATTCCATTGCATTACATAGATAAAAAATACTTATATGGAAATAGTATAAATAATAATTATTAGCTAGCAGGTGCGACTCACAAGCTCAACCCCAACCCGAGACTTTCTCGGGTTCTTTCTGCTGCTTTCTTTAAAACTTTCAGTAACAAGAGGAATTGTGCTGTTTTGCAGTAGCTCGCTCTTTTGGTTCATACACTTAGAATAAGAAGTATCTACAACTGACATATTGAGCTTTGCCTTCAGAGACAGCGGGCGATAATAACTACCAAATCCCCGAATACCCCGCGTTCTCCTTACAACAATTTCCAATGTTAAGCAGACACAGATAAATATACACATTAAAAAAGGGATAAGTTAAAATCAGTTGTAAAGACACTTGGAATTCGCGAATCATTACAACTAAACAAATGAAAACCTTTTTTGATTGCTCTAAATAATGAAAAACTTTATGTTAGCGTTTAGATCCTGTACACTCGTCTGAATGTGAGGGAGATTGATCACGTTGGATCTGACACGTTAAGGTGAAGGCACAACTGGTTTAAATCGTTCAGCCCGGTGCTGAGCCGCACCTGCCGCGCTACATGTTTAATTAATCTTCATAAGGTATGAACCTTACTAACACGACATAGATTTGTATCGACCCCGCGGACCCCTTTCAATCATGAATCTCAATTTACATACCTACTTGTGTAGGAAGTGAAACTTCAAAAGGTTAATGGAGGGAAAGCGATTTCTGAAACGCGCACAACTTCAGATACTAAGTAAAAACTCACCTGTCTCCTTCGCTGTAAATACAAGCCTTCTCCGTGAGAGGGTACAATGTTTTCGTCAATATAGAATTAAGCTTCCTCCAATAAATAACAGTACTTGACAAGGGACTGTTGTGCGAAGTTAACACACTTTTCTTAGTGCTCACTTTACGGCCGTTGTATATACCCAAAACCTGGCAAAGATTTATACATGCTGTACTGGATTTTATTGTAGTACCTAATGATAAATTCAAGTTTTGTTAAGATAATTCATTCGATATTTTAATTCGATTAAGGACAAAAATCGTAGTGACCACTCATCTCAAATGAAACTCAATTAGGTACTATATTATACGCGGACACAGACCTATGTATTGAAAAACTTGTCATAGATACCTTAGCGACATCTTTCGAAGAGTTAAAGTTGAAATGATATCCGCAAAGTTTGTATGCCTTCTTTTCCAGACTTTCTTGGGAGTTTCTAACATCAATCAAAAGTCGTGACGCGAGATCTTTGTCTACAGTGATTCCGTAATATTCACAGTTAGCCAGAATCTTTGAGACTTGATTTTCGATATCTGTCGAAGAAATCAAAATTGATGAACTTCCTTAGAATAAGAATCGAAGATTAATAGTACCTAACTATTTATTGAAAATAATTACTTTATGTTTTGATAATAACGACTTACTCACGTGAACCAAATTAGTAAAGCTCTACCAGGTACCTACTTAATTTCAAGTCAAGGTACTCAATGAGTAGCTAGCGCATCTTGGCGACGCGCTGCCGACTGGTTCAATTGATACACGAGAAAAAGCTGATATTTTCAAGAAATATATTCGAGAAATAGATCGCAGTCAAAAATGTTTCGCCTTATACAAAAGAACATCAAATAGCAAAGTTTGTAAAATCAATAAAATATTTGTGTAAAATCAATAAATAAAAACATTTTTTTTT